GTTAAAAAATGAGCCTCAATACTTCAATGAAGCGATGTCCACTCCTAAGCACCTACGTGGAAAAAAACTATAAATAGTAAAATTGAATCCATCATGCAAAATCCACCTGAGAGTTAGTAGATCTTCCTCCAGGAATTAAACCATTAGGGTGTAAATGAATTTTCAAGAGGAAAATAAAAACTTATGGATCAATTGATAAGTACAAACCTAGACTTGTAGCTAAATGTTACAAACATAAGGAAGGTTTTAATTACTTTGATACATATTCTCCTGTCACGAGAATAACATCTATTCATATACTCATAATTATTACAGCGTTGCATAATCTTGAAATATACTAAATGGATGTAAAAACAACTTTCCTAAATAATAATTTAAATAAGAAAATTTATATAGACCAACCCGACGGGTTCGTTTATCCGAAATAAGAGAAGAAGGTATGTAGACTTGTTAAATCACTTTATAATTTAAAGCAAGTACCAATACAATGACATGAGAAATTTGACAAGGTAATGATGTCAAATGGTTTCATAATTAATGAATGTGATAAATGTGTCTATGTCAAAGACACAAATAATTGATATATCATTGTTACTTATATGCGGATGATATGTTTATTTTAGGTAGTAATAATAATATTATTACAATTACCAAGAAAATGTTGTCCAGTAAGTTTGACATGAAGGATTTGGTGTTGCAGATGTTATACTAGGAATTAAAATTTCTAGAACATCTGGTAGACTTATATTATCTCAATCACATTACATTGAGAAAATACTTAAGAAGTTTGACAAAGATAATAATAGTATTGCTAGAACATCAGTTGATATAAATCTTCATTTATCTAAAAATACTGACCAACACACATCACAATTGAAATACTCTTGTATCCTTGGCAATCTAATGTATGTCATGAACTGCACTAGACTAGATAAAGTATATTCAGTTAGTAAAATGAGTAGATATACGAGTAATTTGGGAGTAGACAATTGGAAGACAATTATCAAGGTTCTTAGATACTTAAGATATACCCTGAATTTTGGATTGCACTATACAAGATATCTTGCTGTATTTGAAGGGTATAGTGATGCAAACTAGATATCTGATGTGAAGGATACAAAATTCACAAGTGGTTATGTTTTTACACTTAATGGTGTAATTGTATCTTGAAAATCCTCTAAGCAAACACGTATTGCTAGATCCACAATGGAATCTGAAATTATTGCTTTAGATAAAGCAGGAGAGGAAGCTGAGTGCCTTCACCAATTTCTAGAGGATATTCCAATATGACCTAAACTTATGTCAGCAATTTGTATATATTGTGATAGCCAATTTGCAATTGGTAGGGCACAGAGTGATATGTATAATAGTAAGTCTAAACATATACGTCATAGACATAATACAGTTAGACAATTGCTCTCAAATGAGATTTTTTCTATTGATTATATAAAATCAAAGAATAATCTAATGAATCCGCTTACTAAAGGTTTGACGAGAGAACAAGTAAATTACACATCGAGGGGAATGAGACTAAAACCTATGACACAAGAGTCACCTTAATGACAACCCAATCTAGTTAACTGGAGATCCCAAAATCTAGGTTCAAATGGACAACTAAATTATGCGCGATTCAAAAGAAGCACTAAGGAGATAATCTCTCGTACCTATTCCTATGATAAACTAGTACTGCCTGCAAAATTTATTAGCGTAAACTATGTTTTTAATAACTTTTATACCGTGAAAAATCTAAGTGGGATATTTCAGGATATTCTTAATAGGAGTCACCTATATGAGTGTGAAGGGGCTACTTCTGTGAGAATTTATAAAGGCTGAGGGGTTGTTTGGTAAGTGATTCTGTCTTGTGTTTTGGGTTTTTGTTTTCAATTTTTGTCAAAAATGAAAACAAAAGCATGTTTGGTTACTGTTTCTATTTTTGTTTTATATTTGTTATTTTGGAGACAGATAAAAAAATTGGAGCAACAAGTTTGTGTTTCAGGAAACACGCAAAACACAAAACACGTGGGATTTGTATTAATGAGGTCTCAACTTCGACTCCTGTTAGCAACAAAATAGTACTATTTTTATGATAAGATAAATATGGGGCTTTTGTGTATTTTTTCATTCGTTTTCAATTGTCTCTCTCACAACCGAAGCTTCGAAGGAACAATTCTGTTCTCCTCTACAACTGTGTCCTGTGATATCGTGAGCCCAAAAGATTGGATGAAGAAGAGGTTTCCCCTTCAATCTCCTAACGAAGAACCGGATCTCCTCCATCAATCTCCTGACAGAAAACCATCTCCTCCATCGATCTCCTTGTTATGAAGGTAAGGTAATTGTATCCATTATATTAGAATAGATCTATGTATGTTGGATTATACTAGGGCAGATATGTGTGTTTTATGGTGTCTGTGTGTGACTTTGTGTGTGAATGTTTGTTTTATGTGCAGATACATCATAGACAGGGGCTCTTTTTCATTTTGCCCTAAAAAAGTGTGGATTTATGTGAATGGGTTTGTGTGTGGTATGTGTGAGAGTTCGTGTGTGTTTTGTGTACAAATCCATCAAAAAACCCCCTCTTTTTTTCATTTTTCCCCAAAAAATTTTGGATTTATGTGAGTGGATATGCAAAGTAAGTGTGTGAATTCGTGTGTTTGTGTGTGTGAGTGTTCTGTTTTGTGTTCAGATCTATCACAGACCTCCCCTCTTTTTTTTTCATTTTCTTTTAATTTTCCTTCTTTATGTGAGTTGGTGTGCAGGGTCTTTGTGTCTGTGTGAGTTCGTGTGTCTATGTGTGTGAGTGTTCTATTTTGTTTTGTGTCTGGGTTAGTGTTCTGTTCTGCACCATAGTTTGGTTGAGCTGATCTTCTCCCTCGAGCTTCTTGGTCCTGAAATCAAGGGCAACCAATAATGTAAAGAGTTATGTAATCTGTAATCTTTGATTGTTAATATTGATTTTAGATTTCTTTTTTTATATTGAAAGGTATTATATTGACAATTTTTGTTGTTTCCTTCCATTGTAGATATAAGTGAACTAAACCTACCTAAAACATGTAGCATATCATTCCCCAATGGCAAGGATGATCTGATGAACTTCGAAGTCACCATTCAGCCTGATGAAGGATTTTATTTGTAAATATCCTACCATATGCTAGTATTCTTTCTGTTGTTCAATTGAGTTAACTTGTTGTCATCCTTTGACATATGCCTTGTTGATATGACTAGGATGATGGTTTTTCTTTGTTTTGTAACTCATTGTTGTGAAGAGATGGTTACTTAGGTTTATCATCCCAATATTGACTTGGAAGGAAATGCCTTCCTTAACATTCTTCGGGAAGACTGGAAACCTGTCCTTAACATAAGCACTATAATTTATGGCTTGTATCATCTGTTCACGGCATTTATTATTCTTTTGGTCTGGAGCCAGAGTATACATCTAGCATTTTGGTAATTTGATTGCTAATTGGAACACTTGTTTGTGCAGGAACCCAATCATGAGGATCCTCTCAATCCTGATGTTGTTTCTGTGTTGAGGGATAACCAAAAAGTGTTCGAGTCGAATGTGAGAAGGGCAATGGTTGGTGGGTACGAGGGACATAGCTTCTTCCCTTAATGCTTATAGAGTTTGAAGGCAACATCAAGTCTGATGCTGTAAAGTTTAAAAAACTAGATGCTACACCTTCTATTCTATCAATCTGTGGTTTTTCTACAACACTGGTGACGAGGGTACATGGTTCCTGGAATTTATGTGCAGAAAGTTGTTTGTATGCTAGTGTAACATTGTGTTTGTTTCTTATGGCTAAATTATCATGTAAGACTATGGGTTTTAGGCATCTACTTGGGGGGAAATGATGATTATAAACTGCTTCTGATTCATGTGTTGCAACGTCACCTTGGCTTTTTCTCCAAAATTTATGACACTATTATATTTATATATATGTGTGTGAATGTGTGTGTGTGTATTATGTTAGATTAATATCTAACTCTATTATGATGACTTGGAATTCACTCTTTTACCAGCATTGTCAAAGGTTACAAAGTGGCCCCTACTTTTTTTTTTTCAATTTCATATTCATTTACTTCTTAATATGAAATGTGTTTCCAAAACCTGAATGATGGGGTATGAAGAGGGTAAAGAGCAGGTGAGCATGGTGGAGATGATTAAGAACAACGGTCCCGTGTGGCATGAGATTGTGAGTGAGAACAAATTGGTGCCAACCAAGATGGAGGAGGTTGGAGCTTTGTGGTTTGCGGACATTGCCGTTGCTTCTCTTTCATTTTCCATAAATTATGAATCATTATAAATTTGTAAATAAAAATAAAAGTAATGTATATTCTTGACCATAAAAGTAAATATATATAAAGCTTGAACTAGTTACGAAACATATTTTTTGTTTTTATTCTCATAATTTGATAGACAAAAATAACTTTCAAACATGTTTTTTGTTTCAATGTTTACCACAAAACAGAGACAAAAATTGTCTCTATTTTTTATTTTTTTGAAGACGCGAAAATAAAAACGTTATCTAACGACTCCTGAAATCTCTAAAGCACTTATAAAAATCAGGAGTTGTTCAGGGCCAAAATAAATACAATTATGAGAATCAATTGTGTTAAAAAAAAGATTGTGTAAAATTTATTCGATCTAATTTATCAAACAGCTGAATAGTTCAAAACATCGTGTTCATTATTTAGTTGATAAATCTGATGGACTTTCACTAAGAAAGGTTCAAGACCAAAAACTATGATGGACTATTTATAGTGTGTCATTATTATCATATGCATACTAATAACTAATTTTTCATTTATATGGGAATTGTTGGATCAAAAATAATTTGTCAAAACAATTTGATAGTGTAAAAATTGAATTTTTGATCGATTTAAGCTTAAATTAATATTCGATCCGTTCGTGACTTCGAAGAAACTTGCGTGAGATCTACCAACGAACCGCCATCTGGGGTTTATAATATTCCATGCGTTAGAATCAACTCTTATTCTCCACTGCAACACTCTCCCAGCACTTTCTTTTTCACAGCTACCGCCATCTAGGGTTTCGTCACACTGCCCCGGAAACCCTAGCCCCAATCCTCTCTTCTCTTCACAAGCAATCACATATATTATATATACACACATTTCAATCACATCTATTCATATATATCCATACATATCCACACGTTTCAATTGAATTCCATTTTTCTGGTCCAGTGGCCATGGATGATGTGTGCGAAGGGAAGGACTTCTCGTTCCCAAACCAAGAAGAAAAAATTCTCTCATGGTGGGACTCAATCAAGGCCTTCGAAACCCAGCTGGAACGCACTAAGCACCTTCCAGAGTACATTTTCTACGACGGTCCACCCTTCGCTACAGGCCTTCCCCACTACGGCCACATACTGGCCGGAACGATCAAAGACATTGTGACTCGCTATCAGTCGATGACTGGTCACCACGTGACTCGAAGATTTGGGTGGGACTGTCACGGATTGCCTGTAGAGCATGAGATTGACTTGAAGTTGGGGATTAAGAGCAGGGATGATGTGCTGAAGATGGGAATTGATAAGTACAATGAGGAGTGTAGAGCGATTGTGACGAGGTACGTGGCGGAGTGGGAGAAAATGGTGGCGAGAGTGGGGAGGTGGATTGATTTTCAGAATGATTACAAGACTATGGACTTGAAGTTTATGGAGACCGTTTGGTGGGTTTTTGGCCAGTTACACGAAAAGGGTCTGGTCTATAGAGGTTTCAAGGTTTGTATATTTAAGCATGATGTGTTATGGGTATATTTCTAGCTTTTATTGAATTGGATAATGAGAGTTTTGTGCATTTCCAAAATAAATGTGCGTCTCTCTAGAGCTTTTTACATGTTATGAATCAGGTTTTCAATATACCTTGTATCTAGAGGTTCCCAGTTGTGTTCTTTTGACTTAATTTCACGTGTTTATGTATTATTGCTCCCTTCAACCAAACACCCGTTCCCTGTGCTATTTCCATTTCAAAAAACAAAACATTTTTTTGCTCTATGTTTTTAATTTTTATTTTCAGAGAATTTGAAGTCAAACCCATGCGAATCAAGTCATTTTCTGGAGGTTTACTATGAGCATAAAAAATGGAAAGGAAGAGTAGGAAATGAAAAGATTCAAAATATTTAAGATTTTTGTTTCACAGAAGCTTGGCAGCTTGCTTATTTTAGTTCCATCTGTATATGAATTTATGTCTATTCATATCAATGTTCTGTTATTTTTTTCTAGGTTGGTCTTGTTTCTCCAATAATAAACGGGTGTATTATTCTTACTGAAAAAAGGGTGTATCATATATCTTACGTACTATTACTTTCTGGCGTGTTATTGTTACTGATCATAATGGAAATATTATAATACTAGTAATAACCTTGCAATACAAAAAATCAAACATTGATAGTACGATATTTAAAATTTATTTTTCCTTTTTTTTTTCTCTTTAATCACACAATTTAAAATTAAGTGAACAAAATAAAATAAGAAAGAGGTAGGGAAGAGAGCAGAGAGGTATATGTGTGAATTGATGAGATTGTCTACCATTGGGAGCGTGCAATGAAAATAGTGTTTTTGAGTGAGAAAAGAAATTTTGGGATGAATTTTATACCATTAGATCAAAGTAGATGAAAATTGGATCAATCTTGACCATTGCTGTGCGTTTATAAGTTGAGAATTCAACTTCCTTGCTGTAATATTAGATAGATTTATGTGGTTTCTGGTGCACGTTTCTTCTGAATTGCTTGTTTGAAATTAGTTTTTAATTTCTGCTGTTAGGTTTGTTTGAAACTAATATCTAGTTTCTACTGTTAGGCTATGTAGAAAGTCAAGAAAAAGAATGAAAATATTATATTTTGATGGGTTTTACAACATTTTTGGTCTGACGCTGTCATATGCAGGTTATGCCCTACAGTACTGGCTGCAAAACTCCACTCTCTAATTTTGAGGCCAACTTGAACTATAAGGTATAAAATTAGGACTACTCTTCCTTAGTTGTGCAGTTTCTATAGAATCCCATGTATATCTTCAACTTCTTGTATTGAACAGGACGTACCTGATCCTGAGGTTATGGTGGCTTTCCCAATAGTGGACGATGCATATGGTGCAGCTTTTGTGGCATGGACGACAACACCTTGGACCCTTCCCAGTAATCTTGCCCTTTGTGTCAATGCAAATTTAGTCTATGTGAAGGTTGGTTAATACTAAGTTTTGTTTATAAGTCCAATATTGTTGCATCAAGTGTATAATATGTGAATGCATTCACTACCTTCCTTCTTAACTTCTCTGTATGTGTCATTCAAACTGGCACAACAATTATAACTGGTTAGCTGTCAAAGGTGTGTTGGTTGTGAAACTGAGAAGTTTCAAAAGTTAGAAATAAAGAAACCTAATTGGTTAGAGTTATCCATAAACTAAGTGATAAGCTTTTTGTTATTGACCATGATCAACATTTTCTTCTGAAGGCATTCAAGTGCTACTAAGGTGTGGGCACTTAACAAGAACCTATTTGTTGTAGTTTGAATACCTTGAGGCTCACTCCTTAAGGTGTGTGTAGCATGTGTGATGTCTACGTGTCTTCAATTTTGGAATATGCACAAGTTTGTGTACTTCATAGAATAGTTATGACCTTGGTTCCTATCGCCTAAGGGTTGTTGATCATATTTTTTTTTAACAGTTTAATCATTGTCCCGTTCTATAAATTTTGAAGCCAAAACTTTATTCATTGTAGTAAGTGCCATTTACTTTACAGGTAGGTAACTTGGTATTAACTCATGATTTGTAATTGTGATGAAAATGGGCCAATGATGTTACTAGTTTTTGGTTAGCAAAGATGTTTCCTGTCTTGGACATAAACTTGTGATTTTTGAATGAGAAAAAATGGTTCAATAAGGTTCCTATTGATTGGTTGCAGAAGATACTTTGATGTCTTGGTCGAAGTAAATGTGTGTTTTGCTATTCAATATGTTGCATCACCATTTAAAGTTTGAGTGGAAAAATAATCAGGTTCGCAACAAGTTCAATGGCAAAATATATGTGGTTGCTGAATCGCGGTTGTCAGAGCTTCCTGTTGAGAAAGCAAAAAAAAGCTTCCCAAACGAAGCTGGGAATGATTCCCCAAATCTGAATTCTAAAACTAAAGGATCATCTGGTGGAAAAGCTAAGAATGTAGAGGATACCTATGACGTTTTGGATAAATTCTCAGGGGCCTCGCTTGTGGGTACAAGGTGAGCACTTAAGACACTCTTACTTTTGAACAGTATTCAACTAGTATAAGCTTGATTATTATGTGCTTTCTGACTACCTTTACATGTTGTCTGCTCATTTCCCATATTTCACCTGTAAGTTTTGTGTGTTCTTGTGCTTTTACCAACCATTTACTTATCAAAGAAAGAGTGCTTTTGCAAATTTATTAGTGTGTTATGAAGGTATCTAGCTAGTAGTTGTTCCATCTAAGTTTTTCTTTTCCTTTTCAGATCTGTCTACATTTTATTGCTAGCTTGCAAATTTTAATAGTCTCCTTAGAGAAAAGTGTCACTTATTTCCCAGGTAAAAAATATTTTAGTGAGAAAAATGAAAATGGAGAAAGATAATTAGATTGAATTTGTGAACCTACGCATATTGTTTTCATTACTGGCACAAATTGTATTTGTTTCAGTATTTGAAAATCTTAAATTTTGTGAGCAGTCTAAAGGAGATTTCAATTGGAGGTCGTCTTAGTTGATCTGTTTTACTTGTGAAATCAATGTGTGAACCTACGGTAGTTGTCATAAATCTGTTATATCCCATTATTTATTTTGGATTGTGATAATATATTGTGATATTGTTCTGCAGGTATATACCATTGTTTGATTACTTCAAGGAGTTTTCTGATGTGGCATTCAGAGTTGTTGCAGATGATTATGTAACTGCTGATAGTGGAACTGGAATCGTGCACTGTGCACCTGCATTTGGTGAAGATGACAACCGTGTTTGTATTGAGCATCAAATAATTATGAAGGTTGAAAGTTACTATATTTGTTGGCTAAATCTTTTATATTCAACATCATATGCATGCGATTGCGATTTTTGTGTCCCTGCATTTTTATTTTTGAGGTTGCTGTGTCGGACACCTCGTGTTCACTTCGGCCCTTGACATTCAGTCCATGCCCGCAAATCATAGCCACTGCCCACACCCATGCAAGTACAAATGCATGCAGGTAGTATGTCTGATTGACATTGTTGATTGTGTATCCACCACATTTCTGCTGAATTTTGGTGTCTTGATTTGATCTAATGTTAAATATCGAGAATTTGAGAATTTTGGTTGAAACCTTAATGACCCATCATATGCCTGGATCATATCTGTATTGCCTCTTGTTATTTTGCATTCCCATTAATTTTCAAATATTTTATGTATTTAGAATATTATCTTAATACATAGTTGAATTCATTTGAAAATATCTGGTGTTGAACTACAAAATCAGGTATATTGATGATTTTAAAAGAAGAATCACGAAACCTAGGATTTCCATATAGGTGAATTGTATGATAGTTTTTTTTTCTTTTTTTGCTTTATTTTAATGGTCAGGGAAATTCTGATAAGAAACAAGTCCTCTATGAATTCTATCAATTGTTTGCTGTTTTGGTAATATCTTCAATTTGCAGGACTTTTATTGACTTTTTAAATGATTTTCTCTCTATTCCTTCCTTTAATATTTTCTTTTTGTTTGTAGACAAAAGAAGCCGTATTAAGAGTCTTGGTAATGTACTTCTAACCATGGGAATATTCCACATATTGGCCTTTACTTTCTACTTGGTGTAGACAAGGTGTAACTAAATGGATCTTGTGATTTATGGTGGGTTAGAAAACTGGATTGCGATCATAGGGTGGCAATGAAGAGAATTGTTGCAAGTTGGCCTGTATTTTCAATTGGAAGGTGGCTGCATCAGAAGTAGGGGTGTCAAACGTGTCGGGTTAAATGGTTACGTGTCGAGTTAAACGGGTGACGGGTGAAAAACATCTAAACCCGTACACGACATGTTTAATCAACGGGTGAAAAATCTTAACACGAACATGACCCGTTTAATAAATGAGTAACACGACGCGACTCGTTTAATCTGTTTAATTTTAAAAAAATTATATCAACAAATTTTAATTCTCAATTTTTTTACTACCAGTTGTACTTACCTCGGAAAAGAGGAATTTCTAGCCAAATCTTACATAAAAATCAGACTTGAAGGCTAAAAAAAAAAAGGCAAGAGGCCACTACCTTTTAGGCAAGTAAGCCCTCCAGTCTCTTATCATTTGCCGAAGTGGGACAAAAATAAAAGGTATTGGTTTGCTTTTGTCTTTGAACTGCTCTCCATCTCCCCCATCTCTCCTCCTTTGTCTTTGAATTACTGCATTACTTTTTTTTTTGTATTGATTTCTTTTTTTTTTTTTGGCTAATTTTTAAAAATAATTGTTAATTTATTATTATATTAATTTTATTTAAACGGGTAAACGTGTGATAAACGGTTTAACAGATCTCACCCGAATACGACTCGTTTATTAAATGTGTCTGGCGGGTCAATCCGTTTACCATCCAAATCCGTTAAGATCTCAACAAAACCTGTTTAATTCTTATCGATTCGTGGGGTTAATTACGTCGTGTCAGACTTTGACAGACCTAATCAGAAAAGCGGGGAATTTCTAATGCTTTTTTCTTGGCAAGAGGAGTCTTTGTGGAGGATGGTTCCTATGCTTTATTATATATCAGGGTTTTAGAATTATCTGTTTTGTATTTTGTTAGGATGAGGCTAGCTTTGGTTGGGATATTTTTCTAGGTTGAAAATACTTTATGCAAATCTAAATTACGAGAGTGTGAGGGATTGGGTTTTTAGTTATTTGCTTCTTTGAGTGATTGACCAAGTTTTGGTGTCTTCCCGCTTTAGAATGGGAGAACTTTTATCAGTTCATGATATTGACTTACAACATCCTCTCCTCCTAGGACTGCTATCACCCGTTTGGATGAAGCATGGGCCATCCAACAAGGAATGGGCCATCCATCCTGAAATGCCCTGGAAATAGGTTTGGTGAGGCTAAGGCACAAATTGAAACTAATGTATTTGGAATGGGTTTGGTTTTGGTCCTGTCTGCCACAAACCAATTGTCTTAGCCCGGTGTCTGATTTTATTTCTTGTATATATGGGGGCTAGAAGAATGGAGTTCTATGGGGATTTGGCTCATTTTTTAGTTGACAGCCCTATTGTTAGAGAAACAATGGCTGCTGTCGAACCAAAAAAAATCTTTGGGTGGTTTAAAATATCTGATTTTCTCTGGACAGAACAGAATTGATTCGGCAATGACGGCCTCTCTATTTCTGCATGGCAGATGTATTTTACATTTTTTGTCTCTTTAATGTTCTCTGTTTAGCAAAGTTGTTTTCGCGAAGAGTAATATGTTCTGGAAAACTTTAAATATACTGAAACAAGAGTTTCTATTCTTCAACCAGATGGAACCCCATACTTCGGAGACTAATGGAGAGCTAAAGGGCGAAAAATAAGGACCCTCATGGTTTTTATAAACTTAGAAAAGACATATAATTGAGTTCCTAGAGAAATATTATGGAGGGCTCTAGACAAAAAAAGTTACTGTTAGGTATATTGACATGATTAAGAATATGTATGAAAATGCTGGGACTTTAGTGAGAAAAATGACAGGTGAGACTAATGAATTTCCCAACATTGTATACTTACATCATGGTTCCATTTTGAGTCCATATCTTTTTGGTCTTCGATTATGGATGAATAGATTAGACACGTTCAGGATGATTTCCCATGATGTATGNTTTTTTTTTGTATTGATTTCTTTTTTTTTTTTTGGCTAATTTTTAAAAATAATTGTTAATTTATTATTATATTAATTTTATTTAAACGGGTAAACGTGTGATAAACGGTTTAACAGATCTCACCCGAATACGACTCGTTTATTAAATGTGTCTGGCGGGTCAATCCGTTTACCATCCAAATCCGTTAAGATCTCAACAAAACCTGTTTAATTCTTATCGATTCGTGGGGTTAATTACGTCGTGTCAGACTTTGACAGACCTAATCAGAAAAGCGGGGAATTTCTAATGCTTTTTTCTTGGCAAGAGGAGTCTTTGTGGAGGATGGTTCCTATGCTTTATTATATATCAGGGTTTTAGAATTATCTGTTTTGTATTTTGTTAGGATGAGGCTAGCTTTGGTTGGGATATTTTTCTAGGTTGAAAATACTTTATGCAAATCTAAATTACGAGAGTGTGAGGGATTGGGTTTTTAGTTATTTGCTTCTTTGAGTGATTGACCAAGTTTTGGTGTCTTCCCGCTTTAGAATGGGAGAACTTTTATCAGTTCATGATATTGACTTACAACATCCTCTCCTCCTAGGACTGCTATCACCCGTTTGGATGAAGCATGGGCCATCCAACAAGGAATGGGCCATCCATCCTGAAATGCCCTGGAAATAGGTTTGGTGAGGCTAAGGCACAAATTGAAACTAATGTATTTGGAATGGGTTTGGTTTTGGTCCTGTCTGCCACAAACCAATTGTCTTAGCCCGGTGTCTGATTTTATTTCTTGTATATATGGGGGCTAGAAGAATGGAGTTCTATGGGGATTTGGCTCATTTTTTAGTTGACAGCCCTATTGTTAGAGAAACAATGGCTGCTGTCGAACCAAAAAAAATCTTTGGGTGGTTTAAAATATCTGATTTTCTCTGGACAGAACAGAATTGATTCGGCAATGACGGCCTCTCTATTTCTGCATGGCAGATGTATTTTACATTTTTTGTCTCTTTAATGTTCTCTGTTTAGCAAAGTTGTTTTCGCGAAGAGTAATATGTTCTGGAAAACTTTAAATATACTGAAACAAGAGTTTCTATTCTTCAACCAGATGGAACCCCATACTTCGGAGACTAATGGAGAGCTAAAGGGCGAAAAATAAGGACCCTCATGGTTTTTATAAACTTAGAAAAGACATATAATTGAGTTCCTAGAGAAATATTATGGAGGGCTCTAGACAAAAAAAGTTACTGTTAGGTATATTGACATGATTAAGAATATGTATGAAAATGCTGGGACTTTAGTGAGAAAAATGACAGGTGAGACTAATGAATTTCCCAACATTGTATACTTACATCATGGTTCCATTTTGAGTCCATATCTTTTTGGTCTTCGATTATGGATGAATAGATTAGACACGTTCAGGATGATTTCCCATGATGTATGTTATTTACAGATGATATTGCATTAGTTGATGAAAGTAAAGAATGAATTAATAATAAATTAGAAATTTGGCAAAAAGTTATAGAATCTAAAGGATTTAAGACAGCTGGACTAAAATTGAATATGTGGAATGTTATTTTAGTAAAAGGAGGAATCCAAGATCAAGAACATTAAAAATTGAATATTTTAAATATTTAGGGTCTATTATTCATACAATGTGTGAGATTGGTGATGATGCTACTTATATAATTAAAGCAGGACAAACTAAATGGTGGAATGCATTTCAAGTATGTGTGATAAATGTATTCCCCTTGGGTTAAAAGGAAAGTTCTATCGAATGGTCATAAGACTTGTTTTGGTTTATCATACTAATTGTTGGGCAGATAAGAAATAATATGCTAAAAAATTAAGTATGGAGGAAAAGATAATGTTAAAACAAATGCAACTTTTATGTGTTTGATCTCAAAAAAAAAACATAAATTTGTAGAAAATTGGGGACTTTAGACAGATAAGTTTGGTTACTAGTTTATGTACGGTTTTTGCGAAGGTGCTATCAATAATATTAAGGGAGATTTTAGTGAATACAATTTCTCAAAACCAGAGTGCTTTTGTTATGGGATACAAATTTTGGATAGTTTTTTGGTGGCTAATGAAGTGGTTGAGGAGTATAGAGTGAAGGGGAAGGAAGGAGTTACTTTCAAGATTGATTTTGAAAACAATTATGATCTTGTGGATTGGGGTTTATTCGATTTTGTTCTTAAAGCTAAAGGGTTTTAGGAGTAAATGGGGAAAATGGATTGGGGGATGTTTATCTTCTATGAATTTTCAATGATTGTTAATGGTACTATGTTAGATCAAGTGGAAGATAAATGCTTGGAGGGGATTAAGGCAAAGGTGAGCTGCTTTCACCTTAGTAATGGAGTATGGTCTAGTGGAAGGTTTCTTAGTAAGTGATGATAGGGTTTTTGTGT